ATATGGTGGCTATACGTGCCTCTCTCATATATGCCCACTTTGACCAAATCCTTTAGAGAAATCAAGAAATTTCTCAAATAATTTGTTTTCAAAAATTCGTTAAAAATCCCACAAATTCAATTCGGGAATTCTATATACGGGATGTGACAACTAGGACCCTTGTACATATTTCCCATATTGTGGCTATACGTGCCTCTCCCATATATGCCCACTTTGACCAAATCCTTTAGAGAAATCAAGAAATTTCTCAAATAATTTGTTTTAAAAAATTCGTTAAAAATCCCACAAATTCAATTCGGGAATTCTATATACGGCATGTGACAACTGGGACCCTTGTACATATTTCCCATATGGTGGCTATACGTGCCTCTCCCATATATGCCCACTTTGACCAAATCCTTTAGAGAAATCAAGAAATTTCTCAAATAATTTGTTTTAAAAAATTCGTTAAAAATCCCACAAATTCAATTCGGGAATTCTATATACGGGATGTGACAACTGGCACCCTTGTACATATTTCCCATATGGTGGCTATACGTGCCTCTCCCATATATGCCCACTTTGACCAAATCCTTTAGAGAAATCAAGAAATTTCTCAAATAATTTTTTTTCAAAAATTCGTTAAAAATCCCACAAATTCAATTCGGGAATTCTATATACGGGATATGACAACTAGGACCCTTGTACATATTTCCCATATGGTGGCTATACGTGCCTCTCCCATATATGCCCACTTTGACCAAATCCTTTAGAGAAATCAAGAAATTTCTCAAATAATTTGTTTTCAAAAATTCGTTAAAAATCCCACAAATTCAATTCGGGAATTCTATATACGGGATGTGACAACTAGGACCCTTGTACATATTTCCCATATTGTGGCTATACGTGCCTCTCCCATATATGCCCACTTTGACCAAATCCTTTAGAGAAATCAAGAAATTTCTCAAATAATTTGTTTTCAAAAATTCGTTAAAAATCCCACAAATTCAATTCGGGAATTCTATATACGGGATGTGACAACTAGGACCCTTGTACATATTTCCCATATTGTGGCTATACGTGCCTCTCCCATATATGCCCACTTTGACCAAATCCTTTAGAGAAATCAAGAAATTTCTCAAATAGTTTGTTTTAAAAAATTCGTTAAAAATCCCACAAATTCAATTCGGGAATTCTATATACGGGATGTGACAACTGGGACCCTTGTACATATTTCCCATATGGTGGCTATACGTGCCTCTCCCATATATGCCCACTTTGACCAAATCCTTTAGAGAAATCAAGAAATTTCTCAAATAATTTTTTTTCAAAAATTCGTTAAAAATCCCACAAATTCAATTCGGGAATTCTATATACGGGATATGACAACTAGGACCCTTGTACATATTTCCCATATGGTGGCTATACGTGCCTCTCCCATATATGCCCACTTTGACCAAATCCTTTAGAGAAATCAAGAAATTTCTCAAATAATTTGTTTTCAAAAATTCGTTAAAAATCCCACAAATTCAATTCGGGAATTCTATATACGGAATATGATAACTAGGATCCTTGTACATATATCCCATATGGTGGCTATACGTGCCTCTCCCATATATGCCCACTTTGACCAAATCCTTTAGAGAAATCAAGAAATTTCTCAAATAATTTGTTTTCAAAAATTCGTTAAAAATCCCACAAATTCAATTCGGGAATTCTATATACGGGATGTGACAACTGGGACCCCTGTACATATTTCCCATATGGTGGCTATACGTGCCTCTCCCATATATGCCCACTTTGACCAAATCCTTGAGAGAAATCAAGAAATTTCTCAAAAATTTTTTTTCAAAAATTCGTTAAAAATCCCACAAATTCAATTCGGGAATTCTATATACGGAATATGATAACTAGGATCCTTGTACATATATCCCATATGGTGGCTATACGTGCCTCTCCCATATATGCCCACTTTGACCAAATCCTTTAGAGAAATCAAGAAATTTCTCAAATAATTTGTTTTCAAAAATTCGTTAAAAATCCCACAAATTCAATTCGGGAATTCTGTAAACGGGATGTGATAACTAAGACCCTTGCACACATTTTCCATATGGTGGTTATACATGCCTCTCCCTTATATGCCCACTTTGACCAAATCTCGTAGATAAATCAAGAACTTTCTCCAAGTTCATTTTTTCAAAATTTCGTTAAAAATCCCATAAATTCAATTCGGGAATTCTATATACGTAGTGTGAGAACTAAGACCCTTGCACACATTTTCCATATGGTGGTTATGCGTGCCTCTCCCTTATACGTCCACTTGGGCCAAAGCCTTATTTTGGGCAAAATGCCTCAAAAGATCAATAAAGTTAAGCCTTAGCAAAAATAAAACTTTAAATGGCATACAAATTTTAGTCATGTATAAGTTTTTAAAAGTTTACAAAATATGTAAGTTTATTTTTTTTAATAAAATTTGATAAAATATGATCTTTATGAATTTTAGCTAAGTTATTTAAAAAACATATTTAACTTTGCAGTTAAATATGTCGATTTGTCGAAAAAATTTAATTTTCAGGTCTAAAATCGTTACGTCATAACATATTTAACTTTTTAGTTAAATATGTTTTTTTCTAAGTCGTTACGTCAAAACATATTTAACTAGGAATATTTATCTTCACACACATAATGGATTGTCATCGCATAAGGATCAAGAATATAAAGCGAGACTTTTGACTCTACTAGAGTCTGAAACGGAGCAAAACCAATTGAATTTGGATAATTTAGTCGCTGAAGTGGAACGTATCAACAGTCTTAAACGCGATGTTTCAACAAATGAAAATCCAAATGTCAACTCAGTTCATAGTTCCAAGCAACGGACACCACAGAATGCTAATAAAGACCTAAAGCCAAGGCGACCGTGCTGGCAATGTGGAAATATGCATTTTGTCCGTGATTGTGGTTATACAACACACAAATGCTCACAGTGTGGTAAAGTTGGACATAAGGAAGGATTTTGCTCATGCTTTCCAGATAAAAAGCCAAATATAAGCAAAAATAATCAGCAACATCAAAATAAAAGTAATTTCAAGAAAACGCGTAAAACAATAAAAAGCGTATATGCAACCACAGCAGCATGTAAAAATAGACGATACATTTCACTACAAATTAACAATGTAAATCTCTCTCTTCAACATGATACTGGTTCGGATGTCACGATCATCTCAAATAAGAACTGGGTTAAAATTGGTAAACCAACTTTAGAAATTTCTCAGCACAAGCCAAGAGATGCTTCTACAAATGAAATTAACATAATAGGTCAGTTTCAGTGTACAGTGGTTATCAATAATCAAAACCAAACATGCAACATTTTGGTATCATCACTTCCTGATTTAAATCTTTTCGGTTCTGACTTAATGGAACAATTTAAATTGTGGAACCAACCCATTGATTCTTATACATCGTGTAAACAACTTCAAGTTAACAACACACTCACAGAATCTGAATTGCGTAAAACATACCCAGAAGTTTTTAGGAATGAAATTGGACACTGCACTCATTTTAAAGTTCACCTACAACTTAAACCACAAGCTGTTCCTGTTTTTCGTCCTAAAAGGCAAGTAGCGTATGCAGCAAAAGATCAACTAGACAGTGAAATTCAAAAACTTGAACGTGAAGGTATCATTTCACCAATAAATTTTTCTGAATGGGCTGCACCCATTGTGGTGGTGAAAAAGGCTTCTGGTAATCTACGTATTTGTGGGGATTACTCCACTGGACTAAATGATCAGCTAGAACCTCACACGTTTCCACTACCTCTTCCAGATGAAATTTTTATAAATTTTAACAACTGTTCAATATTTTCAATAATTGATTTAAATAATGCCTACATGCAAATAGAAGTCGACGATGACACGAAAAAACTACTAGTTATTAACACTCATCGTGGCTTGTACACTTTTAATCGGCTTGCCCCAGGTGTGAGATCGGCTCCTGGTGCTTTTCAACAGTGTATGGAATCAATTATTTCTGGTATTAAAGGCGTTTTTCCTTATCTGGACGATGTTATTGTAGCCACACCAACACGCGAAGAAAATATAGCAGCTGTAAAACAGGTATTTGAACGTTTAAAAAAATACAACATTACAGTGAATTTTGAAAAATGCAAATTTTTTAAAACTTCGTGTACATACCTTGGTTACCATTTTGACAAAAAAGGCGTTTATCCAGATAAAAATAAAATTAAAAAAATTTTACAATTTTCGCCTCCCAAGAATATTAGTGAATTGCGGTCTTTTCTAGGAGCAATTAACTACTACGGTAAATTTCTACATGAAATGAGAAAGCTTAGAGATCCTTTGGATAATTTACTCAAGAAAAACACAGCATGGAATTGGTCATCATCATGTCAACGCAGTTTTGAGCGGTTTAAACAGCTTCTGTCATCTGATTTGTTGCTTACTCACTTTGATCCAAAGCTTCCTATCAAAGTAGCAGCTGACGCCTCAAACGTTGGACTGGGTGCATATATCTGTCATGTTTTTCCTGATGGCAGCGAAAAAGCAATTTATCATGCGTCAAGGTCTCTCACTCCAGCTGAGAAAAATTACTCTCAAATTGAAAAGGAAGGATTGGCGCTGGTTTTCGCTGTAATTAAATTCCATAAATATTTATTTGGTAGAAAATTTATTCTTCAAACGGATCACAAGCCCCTGCTTTCAATTTTTGGAAATAAAAAAGGAATTCCGGCACATTCTGCAAACCGTCTCCAGCGATGGGCTCTTACACTCATGTCATACGATTTTACTTTGCAATACATTTCAACTCATGAATTCGGAGCAGCTGATATTTTATCTCGTCTAATTTCCAATGTACCAAAACCAAACGAAGACACTATCATCGCTTGTATTCAATTGGAAGATGACATCAAAAAGGTAATTAACGATATCACAAATGCCTTGCCGGTAACATTCAACATGATTTGTGCTGCAACTAAAAAGGATTCAAATCTCCAAGATCTTATAAAATTCTTACAAACTGGTAAGTGGCCAAATGAAAAATCTTCTGATATTCAGTGTTATTTTTCGAGAAAACAAGATTTAAGTATTGTTGATGATTGTGTTATGTACGGGGAGCGTATTATAATACCCAGCTGTTTTAGAAAACGCATTCTAAAAGAATTACACAAAGGTCATCATGGTATCGAGAGGACAAAGGCACTGGCTCGCAGCTATGTTTATTGGCCCCATATGGATGATGAAATTAAAAGGTATGTACAGAATTGTACCAAATGCTCTTCAGTAGCAAAATCGTTACCAAAAACTTCACTTTATTCATGGCCATTAACAAAACAACCTATGGAAAGAGTTCATATAGATATAGCCGGTCCTGTTGATAATTTTTATTATTTCGTAATAGTAGATTCATTTTCGAAGTGGCCACAAATTTATCAAATTAAATCGATTTCTTCAAATTCAATTATAAATTGTATGCGCGATTTCACTTCATTGTTTGGAAACCCTGAATTAATAGTGAGTGATAATGGAACTCAGTTCTCCAGAAGCATGTTTTCCAAGTTTTGTCAAGAAAATGGTATTTTACACAAATTCACAGCTCCATACCACCCTCAATCAAATGGTCAGGCAGAAAGGTTCGTTGACACTTTAAAGCGCGCTTTGAAAAAACTCGAAGGAACGGGCACTTCTAGTGAAAATCTACAAACATTTTTAAAATGTTATCGTTCTTCACCAAATCCTAGCTCTGGTGGCAAATCGCCTTCTGAATTGTTCGTGGGGAGAAAAATAAGGATTAATCTTGATCTACTTAAAAAACCAACAGAATCCCAATTACAACGAAACGAGAAAATGGAAGAACAATATAACAAACGTAATGGTGCTAAAGAGCGGATATACAATATTGGTCAGAAAGTTTACGCAAAATTATACAAATTAAATAAATATGAATGGTTCCCAGGTATTATCAAACGAAAACTCGGAAATGTCAATTACGAAGTCGAAATCGAAAACATTCCTGAATTTCGTGCAGTTAGGTCTCATACAAACCAACTAAGACCTCGTTATTCTGAATCTGAGAACATAGCAGCTAATGATGTTTTATTTGATTATTTCAATTTAACAGCTCAACAGACTCCTCCTAGAGATCAAAATATGAGAGACAATGAGATTGAATATGTACCACTCACTGATGGACAGACTACATCTACAGATGAATTGCAACCTGTTCAAGATCCACTTCTAGTTACTTCACCATCTGGTTCAACAAACGTGAATAGTCAACCGACAACTTTAGAAAAGTTAACGTCAACATTAGAAGAAGGTGCATCGACTAGTAATTCAACAACAGATCCTGTAGTTCAAACAGATGAAGCTTCCCCAGCTCTTCGAAGGTCCAATCGTAGGAAGCGTCCTCCTGTATGGACTCCAGATTATCATCTTCTTAAAAGAAAGAGAGATGTTGGCAACCCCAAATAAGCAACTTCTATGTTCTTTGTACTAAAATTATAACTGTCGTTTTTATATTGTCTTATATACATACTTTTATATTGTCATACATACATAGTTTGCCGCTATTACATTTTGTTATGTTTATTGTACATTGTTAAGTCGTCTAGTAAACATCACACAGTCATATACGCGGTAACTATTTTAAATTGATTTGTTATTTGTTTTATTATTAATTATTGTTTTTAAATAAAGGTTAACTTTGGGTTAGAATTAAACTCCATTGTTTCACTCAACCACCTGACAATCATAACATCAACCATAATGGTTTTTAATAGAAATCTACTCGGCGAGAGTAATATTTACAACAAAAAATATTAAAATATAAAAAACAGCAGCAACAACAATAATAAATGATTCTACATGTTTCTTTTATAAAATTTACTTAAATTAAGTACAAATAAACTTAACTAGAAACTAGAATGAACTCTCTAGAAGTTTAGTAAAGCTTTAACAATACTGAGAAGTTTGAAACGTTAACAGTTATTTAAAAGTTTAGATGTTTACAAAGCTTTATTTAATAGAATTTCATTGAATCAATGAACCATTTCATTCTATCAATGAAATAGTTTCATAGTGGAGACGAAAAACAAATTCATTTAATTTAGGAAGAATGAAGGGTTTCGTTAGCTCGTATACAATGAACAATTTCACTGGCCAAATTATGAAATTCATGTCTGGAATGCAGCTTTTCTCTAAGTGTATTGACAGTTTTAAGAATAATAATTGCAAGGGTTAATCTTAGATTAAATTTGTAAATCCAAATTAGTTTCAACTTTTTAGATTTGATAAATTTATACTCTCATTCGCTTTTACTATAAAGCATCTAATATACTCCTATAATGCTGTAATAAAACACTTTCATTCTCGAAATAATTTCATTAGCAAATTTATACCTAAAAGTATGCTTCTAAATATGCTCATTATAGTTAGCCTTTAATTAGACTTTACACATTATTCTATGTTTAATTACAGAAAATATTCACTTTTTCCCCAGACAAAAAGGATTAAATGAAGTTTCAAGTTACCATTCTCCATTACGCATTTTTATTAAAAAATTCTTTAATTTCACTACATTATTACAGATATAGTTTCATTATTTATAAAAAGTATTTTTTAGTATTTTGTTAAAAATACATTAGAGGTTTAGACTTTTTCCAACCTCTATAAATGAGGGTAAATTAACGAAGAGTTTGGGAAGATTATGTGCGTATGTTTTAGTTTGCTGGTGCGTTTTTAATGTGGAAAATATCCAACCCTATAAGTATGCAACATTATTATGTTGCTGCTGCTGTTGTTGTTTGTATTTCCGCCTCAAGTACTGTCTGATGTTGTTGTTGTCGAAGCTAAAAAGTCAGATAAGTCATGTGACCTTTTATTTTGCATTTTATTTATTTTTATACATTTTGGTTCTTTACACCCTTAAATAATAGTAGCGGCAGCAACCACCTTTACACACACTTACAAACCTCCCACGCAAACACAAATACCTTTGTATGTTTAGTCCTGGTTTGAGAAATAAACTGTAAAATAAAGGTAACTAACACACATTAATATTAACAAATATGTTAAAATATGTGTGTTGTTTATACTTAAACCCCTTGTTTCTTTCGGCGTTAAAGTATCCCTTTTTTGGGTAGTAGTTTGCAAAAGAAAGGGGATCAAATTGAAATATTGTGGGAAGCACTAATTACCGCTTAAAATTACTGGTTGTATTGCAACTTTTCACTCAAAGTTTTGTAGCTAGAGCTGATCCCATTTCTCTAATCAAGTAACTAGTCCTTAGAACTACCGAGATATTTACATATGTGGTGGTTTGCAAGTATGCGACACGTGTGGGCGTTTAGAGAGTGTGTTTGTGTATGTGTTTTTAAGCCTTTGCGTGCGTGTTTGTTTGATGATTATTTTGCTGCTGCCTCTGCTGATGATGATGAGAATGACGACAAAGACGTTTGCTGTAGTTGTTGTTGCAATGTTGTTAATGATGAGGCATGGCAACAACCTTAAATGGCGGACACCTTTTTCCCTATAATCACTCATTCACTGTCACACACCCATACCAAAACAACTAGTCTGCATGCATGCAGCAGGCATGGAAAACTAGACTATGGACTAGACTATAGGCTAGACTATAGACTAGACTATAGACTAGACTATAAACTAGACTATAGACTAGACTATAGACTAGACTATAGACTAGACTATAGACTAGACTATAGACTATATAGACTAGACTATAGACTAGACTATAGACTAGACTATAGTCTAGTCTATAGACTGGACTATAGACTAGACTATAGACTAGACTATAGACTAGACTATAGACTAGACTATAGACTAGACTATAGACTAGACTATAGACTAGACTATAGACTAGGCTATAGACTAGACTATAGACTAGACTATAGACTAGTTTATAGACTAGACTATAGACTAGACTATAGACTAGACTATAGACTAGACTATAGACTAGACTATAGACTAGACTATAGACTAGACTATAGACTAGACTATAGACTAGACTATAGACTAGACTATAGACTAGACTATAGACTAGACTATAGACTAGACTATAGACTAGACTATAGACTAGACTGTAGACTAGACTATAGACTAGACTATAGACTAGACTATAGACTAGACTATAGACTAGACTATAGACTAGACTATAGACTAGACTATAGACTAGACTATAGACTAGACTATAGACTAGACTATAGACTAGACTATAGACTAGACTATAGACTAGACTATAGACTAGACTATAGACTAGACTATAGACTAGACTATAGACTAGACTATAGACTAGACTATAGACTAGACTATAGACTAGACTATAGACTAGACTATAGACTAGACTATAGACTAGACTATAGACTAGACTATAGACTAGACTATACTATAGGACTAGACTATAGACTAGACTATAGACTAGACTATAGACTAGACTATAGACTAGACTATAGACTAGACTATAGACTAGACTATAGACTAGACTATAGACTAGACTATAGACTAGACTATAGACTAGACTATAGACTAGACTATAGACTAGACTATAGACTAGACTATAGACTAGACTATAGACTAGACTATAGACTAGACTATAGACTAGACTATAGACTAGACTATAGACTAGACTATAGAACTAGACTAGACTATAGACTAGACTATAGACTAGACTATAGACTAACTATAGACTAGACTATAGACTAGACTATAGACTAGACTATAGACTAGACTATAGACTAGACTATAGACTAGACTATAGACTAGACTATAGACTAGACTATAGACTAGACTATAGACTAGACTATAGACTAGACTATAGACTAGACTATAGACTAGACTATAGACTAGACTATAGACTAGACTATAGACTAGACTATAGACTAGACTATAGACTAGACTATAGACTAGACTATAGACTAGACTATAGACTAGACTATAGACTAGACTATAGACTAGACTATAGACTAGACTATAGACTAGACTATAGACTAGACTATAGACTAGACTATAGACTAGACTATAGACTATAGACTAGACTATAGACTAGACTATAGACTAGACTATAGACTAGACTATAGACTAGACTATAGACTAGACTATAGACTAGACTATAGACTAGACTATAGACTAGACTATAGACTAGACTATAGACTAGACTATAGACTAGACTATAGACTAGACTATAGACTAGACTATAGACTAGACTATAGACTAGACTATAGACTAGGCTATAGACTATATTTTTCGATATCAAAAAATTAGAGCAAATTTTCCATGTCTGGCATTGGAGTGTTTAGCATTTATGCGACAAATTTGTTATTACATTTTTTTCGCTCTCCCCCTTTTCCTTTCACTTCGCTTTTTGTCCTGTCTGTAGTGCCGTTATAAAAAGCTTATGTTTTCTTTTTTTTCCCCAGAGTAAAAAATGTTGTTGCATTTTTTTATGTTTAACAACTCTTTGATACATAACGGCAAATGCTTTCCCCTCTTCTTTTTAAAGTTTTCTTTTACTGTTTTACTCCCATTCTTTTAATTTTTTAGTTGCTTTTTTGCTGAGTTGTTTAATTTGTGCTGTTGGTTATTTTACACATTTTTCTATGTCGTGTCGTGCCGTGTTTTTCTCCTCGTACATACGTACGTGTAATAATGAATGAATGATTTAAATGCAGGAAAAAGGCGTTGATGTTTAATTTATTATACCATTATGGTTTATTATGTTGGGCTTTTTTAGTTTTTTTGCTTTGCTTTACCATAATTTGTTTATTTATATTGTAAAGTTTTAATAGTATACTTTTAGGAAATGTGTGTGTGGGTTTTTTTTACAAATCAATGTAGTAGTTGGTCAACATTTTGTTGTAATTATAATTAAATGCATGACTGTTTACGGCTAAAGAGTTGTACACAATAAAACAGGTTTTAATTATTAAAATTAGGAAATTGTTTTAAATTATATAGTATAATTTTAGGAGTTGTTTAAAAAAACTTTTAAAACTAAAATTTTTAGTAATAGATTTTGCAGAAAGTATTATTTACATTTTCCAAAAATGTTCTTTCAATACACTGTGCTTTTTTTAATAAAAATTCCAAAAACCGCCTAAAAATAGGCTACATATTGTAAAAAATAAACAAGCCTACACAGCATACTAAGTATTTCAATTATAAAAATAGAAAAATAAAGCAATTAACAACAAAAAAGCACGTACTCTGCTAACAGACCATAACAATCGAGACAAAGAGGAAATTTTATGAGTTTTTCATAAACGTTATGGTTGTTTTTGTGTGTGTGTTTTTTATATTGTAGATTTTCTTTTATTTATTATTAAATATAAAATAAAAAAACACTTTTTACGATTACATAAAACCAACAAACAAAAATTTGTTAAAGGGCAAGTGTGAAAGCCAGAACGAGAGGGAGTTATAGGGAGAAAAGTAAAATTTTAAAGCTTTATTTTTTTTTAATGATTATATGTATAAAGCCGAATAAAAGTGTCTGCTGGTAGATGAGTACAAATCTCAATAACTGTACAATGAAAGAGAATAAATGTAATTGCCTGTCTGTCTGTCTGTATGTGTGTACTTTTAAGTTAAACACATATTAGACTCTTGTGTATTGAGGTTTAAAGATAATGCGAGTAACAATA